CTGGGTGTTGTGGCAGGCACCTGTAGTCCCAGCTACTTGGGAGGCTGAGGCAAGAGAATCACCTAAGCCCAAGAGCTGGAGGTTGCTGTGAGCTGACATGCCAGGACATTCTACCAAGGGTGACAAAGTGAGACTCTTGTCTCTAAAAAAAAAATAGAAAAAGCCATTTATATCTTTTTTTCTCAACCTTGTTTCCCAGTGATTTCTTGCAGTCTGATAGTTACTGGCTTCACTAGAGTTCTGTTTGCCAATTTTGAATCAGGTTGGGACATTTTTAGTTTGAGTCGTTAATACATTTCTAGCAATGTTTAAAATCAGGTATGTGGCAGTATCTGTAATCATTGTTTGCTTTCAACTAAAACCTGCAGAGAGTGACATCTGCTGGTCATAAAAAATTGTATCTTTATCTTATCTCACCTCCTTTTCAAATTTATCAATGACTCTAATTAAATTGTAAAAATATGAATATAACAATGATCTATTCCTTGATAAAAAAGAAACTAATGTGTTTGACTTATTTGTTCCAATATATACTACTCTGGGAGACTTGTTAAACTAAAAAAAATCTAAATATCTTCCTCATTTTAGCGAATACCGCAGCCTTTCATTTAATTAGGAAAAATAAATAACTTGTAAAATCTGAAAATGAATTAAAAACCCTAGTTAGCCATTTCCTTAAAAATGTCCTTTGGGTTTGCTTCAAGGCAGTAATTAAGTCGAAGATTGAATTCTGATAGACTGAATGAAACACTGGCTATCAAAGACAATTTCATCCTTGTTCTTCTATTTTATTATTAGGTCCCAGGCTTCAAATATGCCCTTGCACCCATTCCTACTTCCTTCCAATCTTTTAAACTGCATGAAATTAAACTTTATATGTGTACATCTAATTTATTCCTATATTAGCTAGTAGCTTTGGAAATTTTTCCTACTCTTCTTGATGGGAAAATTTTCCTATTATAATATAAAAAGTTAGAACTTATGTTGTCACTACACTTTTAAAGGAAAAAAGGCATCTACTAATATTTACTGATAAAATATAAACTTTGCTTTGCAGTACTTAAGTTGCAGTTCCTTTTTTTTTTGTGTGTGTGTGTGTGAAAGAGTCTCATTTGGTCACCCTCAGTAGGGTGCTGTGGCGTCACAACTTACAGCAACCTCAAACTCTTGGGCTCAAGCAATTATCTTCCCTCAGCCTCCTAAGTAGCTGGGACTACACGTACCTGCCACAATACCCGGCTATTTATTAGAGACAGGGTCTAGCTCTGGCTCAGGCTGGTCTCAAACCTGTGAACTCAGGCAATCTACTGGCCTCAGCCTCCCAGGCCTTCCAAGTGCTGGGATTACAGGTGTGAGCCACCGCACCCAGCCTCAAGTTGCAGTTCTAAATTTGGTAGTCAGGTTCCAATTCAATTCCTGCCAGTTTTTTCAATTGTTCAGTACTATAAAGATGTAATGATTTGCCACTTTAGAATTAAAACTTTTAGACTCCCATGTTTCTTTCCATGTGATAAATTTCTAGAGAAAAAATTCTTGAAGAGTCATTACAGTACTATAATAAAAAATTAAAAATAGTAGAGATGAACGTTTTGTGAATTCAATCCTTACCTATATACCTTTATATTGACAGGAGTCAATACATAACTTTTAAAGCTGATGAAACTGCCACATAGCTTTATATGAACATATTGCAGGCATCCTCAAACTACGGCCCGCGGGCCACATGCGGCCCACCTAGGACATTTATCCGGCCCACCAGGTGTTTTTGCCACTGCTGCCTGTCCTGCTTAGCCGCCAAGACGTCCTAGGGCCTGCAGTCTGGCCCTCCAATGGTCTGAGGGACAGTGAATTAGCCCCGTTTAAAAAGTTTGAGGACCCCTGTATTAGAGGTATGTTCACACCCAAGAAGTTAAAGCAAAAATGGTTAAGATAATTGGGCAGGAAGGAATTTATGGCTTTTTCTTATAGGACTCTTATCATTTTTTCCCCCAGCCTTGAGCATATACTACTTTGATGAAACAAAAATGTAAATTTATTTAAATAAAAAAATATATTCTGGGCTTACACGTATAATTCCAGCACTTCGGATGCCAAGGTGGGTGGATTGCCTGAGTTCACAGGTTTAACACCAGCCTGAGCCAGAGTGAGCCCTCATCTCTAAAAATAGCCAGGCGCTGTGGTGGGCTTAAAAAAAAATAAAGTATATATACACACATACAAACATTCATGTATGTATGTATATATTGAATGTTTGTATATATATATATACACACACACGCACACACGTGTGTGTATATACATATATATTTGCCAAATTATCATCCAGAAAAAATATACTAACTTAGATTCCCATGGGGAATTTTTGAAATCACTGATTTACTCCAGTGATTTCATGTTAATTTATTGGAGTATAATTTATACTCTAGCCCACTTAAAAATTTTGAACTTGGAAAAATGCATATAGTCTAAGATGTAATATAAATGATAAGTTTAGGACAAAGAAAAAATAAGTGGAAAGAGCTTAGGACAAAGGAAAAATAAGATGAAAGCAAAGGATGAAAAAATCCACTGGGTTTATCTGGGAAGATGGTTAAGAATGGGGATCCCTGACCTTATAGACCTTGTAAATCAGAATCTTTAAGTTAAGGCTCAGGAATCATATAGCCTTGATGACCTGGAGTCCTAAAGGAATTTAAAAGACAACAAACAGTGACTAATATAGTATTAGGATATTTATTAATATCATGGTATTTAGAACATGGGAACTAACGGAATGGACATTGTGCATCTAACGCCAAAGAGTACGTTTAAAAATAAGTCTTATATAAGCTAGATCATCCTTTTCCCCATTATGTGTATTTCATAAACCTCCCTACAGTAACCCTCACAAAGATGAGAGAATTCAGTTTGTCATCTTGTCCTGTGACTTCTGGGTGGTCTTTTCTCTTGGCTTAATACCTCATCTACTGTACCATTTAGCTGGATATTCTAGTGCTTGAGTGTCTTTTTTACGTAGTATATCAACAGGTTAAACAGATACTCAGAATTAGAAAAATCTTATGCATTAACTAGGTAGTAGTACTTCATCTTTTCTGTTGTGTTCTTAGTCTCAAAACATTATTTTCACATGCCTAATTCAAAGTTTAAGTTGCTAAAAATTTTAAACATAGAATCCAGTATACCATAAACATAAAAGGAAAGAATTACAGCTTAACTTTACAATATTAAGAATATATTAAAAACTGTACATTCAAAAAGTCAATCAGCTCACAGTGACTTCTGCTGTAGTTGTAGCTTTTGTTCAATGATATCTGAGAAACGAGGAACTTTTTTTGAAATAGCCACACGGATGTCATCACTCAGATTAAAGCAGCTTCTGGACTTTGTTTTAAAATGTAAAAGTGATGAAAATCCCAACTCACAAAGGTATGTAGTTGCAAATGGTGTAAGTATATCAAGAGCTGTCTTTGAAAGGTTTGGAAACACCATGAATTGAGCACACCAAAAATCCTCAAGCTTCATTGTCTCAAATTCCATTAGGATCTGGCCACTAGCTCGTAATTCAGCAAGATCATTTTTCATTAAATAACCATCATCAACAAAATCAAGATTAAAAAGAAATGGATCTAGTATCCATTTACTTGCCTCATCAAGATCTCCAACAGAAAAATATCCGTGGAAGAAGTTGCTCAACTGTTGCAGATGCAGTGTTATTTCACCTGTAATGAATATTCCTTCATTATCCGAAACAATTATTTCTTCAAGAAAAGGAAAGTTGGTGAAATTTCTTTTTTCAATTCGTTTTTGCCAAAATGGAAACTTCCTAACAAAAGCAGATAACTTCTCCCTAGCTGATACTGTATTCATCCCAGTCCTTTGCATAGATGCACTAAGTTCATTCAGGTGTTTGAATAAATCTGCAAGGTACGCTAGGCGAATCTTAAACTCTTTATTTTCAAAGGTATCAACTAAATTACTGCTTTGGTGGTGAAGAAACTGATTTATTTCTTCATACATTTCAAAAATATGAGCGAGTATTTGGCCTCGGGAAAGCCACCTCAGTTCAGTATGGAAAAGGAGAACACTATATTCTATACCAATCTCTTCAAAGAAAGCCTGAAATAGGCGATGATTTGGAGCTTGCCTTTTGATGAAATTTATTACTCTCACCACAGTGAACAGAGCATCCCTCAATTTTGTAGGCAATGTCTTTATGACAAGGGCATGAGGATTCAACAAACAATGTGTGGTCACGATATGAGGAACCTCTTTTTTCACACAGGCAACAAATTCTGAATTTTCTCCTAGCATAGAGGAGGCACCATCAGTACAAACTGAGCCACATACATCAAGTGCTATCTTATGTTTCAGAAAGAAATCTCTGAAGAGATTGAACACATCTATTCCTTTCATGGTTGACTGCAATGGTTCACAGAACAGAAATTCTTCTATAATCTCTCTTTCTTTTATATATCTCACAAATGCCATTAGCTGACTGCAGTCATCCATGTCAGTTGTCTCAGCAAGCTGAATACCCACTTTAAAAGGACTGGCTTTGATATCTTCTAGAACTTGTTGTAAGATATCCTGGCTCATTTCATCAATCCTAGAATGGATCACATCATCTGATAAGGGTACCTGCTGAAGTTTCTTTTGTGCATCTGGTCCCAAAACTATTTGTGCTATTTCCAGTGCACAAGGTTTCACTAACTTTTCAGCTATTGTATGAGGATTCTTCTCCTTGGCACACAAGTATGCAAACTGATAAGATGCTTGTAATAAGGCATCCTCATGAGATGCAACTCCAAATGCTTTCAAGGTTTCATTCTGATCAGACGGTGTATGCACATGCTTCAGGCTATTGAGATCATGCCCAGCTATACCACCATGCTGTCTGTTAAAATGGTCTGATAGTTTTGATGGCCTGAGATCAGCGTTTGAAAATACTGAGTTACACAATACACACTGTGGGCGCTGAGTTCCATCAACCTCTGTTGTACAGGTGAACCAGTAACGAACATAGTCATCATCCCATTTGCGTTTCTTCGACATGGCACACAAAAATTCTCAGGGAGTACTCCAGAGATGAAACAGAATTTTGCTTTGGGAGTAAAATATAACCCAAACATTAAAAATCAGTGGCCAATTGAGTTTATACAAAGCCACATCATCACCTGCTATCTTGTCATCACATGCTATCCAGTACATATCAAGATATAACCTGCCAACTTGTGAGTTCAAAGGAAGCCATGACATGATGACAATCCAACTTAAAGCTAGCAACTCATAGTTAATGCCCTCAAGTAAATGAATGTTAGCAAGTCATATATGGGAGATTTAGGCTTAGCCAAGTTATGAGTACCAGTAAGTCCTTTACTTGTGAACCGAAATTATGTCTTAGTTTGTTTTCAGTAATTATGTTACAAACAAATCTGGTACTTTTTGTCTCACCAGAAAGGGAATCTCACTACCACTTCCTCCTTGTATTCTGCCCCAAAGATGTATGTACACTCTCAGTTAAGAATCATTGAACAGAAAGAAGTGATTTGCTCAATACTCTAAGGTAGGACTAATTTTGACACGGTGACTAGTTCTTTTTTAATTTTATTTTTAGAGACAGGGCCTTGCCAAGCTGGAGTGCAGTGGCCCCATCACAGTTCTATGCAGCCTCCAACTCTGGGCTCAAGTAATCCTTCCGCCTCAGGCTCCCGAGTAGCTAGGACTACAGACACACACCACCACACCCAGTCAATGTTTCTATTTTTTGTAGGAATGGGGTTTTGCTATGTTGTCCAGGCTGGTCTTTTAAATTCTTTGGCTCAAGCAATCCTCTTACCTCAGCCTCCCAAAGTGGTTGGGTTATAGGCCTCAGCCATTATACCCAGACAGTTCTTTTTAACAGTTAAGGGTTAAATACGCATGTAAACTACTTGGATCCTTGAATAGCTTTGCCTCCAACTCAAGCAGAGAATTTCAAAGAGGTCTTCAAGTCTAATTAAGCCACCTTTGACACAAAGGTAGGCTATAAATTTGGCTCAGAGCTTCCTTGCTGCTAAGTGTAACATACTATCAATCTATGAGTTGTTCATTATGTAAAAGCAAAACAACTTGCTCAGGAGAAACACAACCATTTCTGTTACTGAGACTTCAGAAAAATTCCCCTCATATAAAGAACACCCTTAACTACAATAAGGAATTTCACAATGCTCTTTCATCTAAGTTTTTACCTTTCAGTAAAAGTACCCTTCAGTAAAAGTAGTCAAGAAAAAAAGCAAAAAAATTAAGATAAGAATAAGCACCATTCCTAAGGTTGGCTTAACACAAAATTGGGATACAGAAGGCAGTGTATCTACAGTTGACTGACTACAGTTCAGTCAACTGAAGAATTAAGTCCTTTGCTAAAATGCAGATTCCTGGGCCCCACCCCTGGCAATTCTGATTCTCTAGCTCTGGAGTAGGGGCTTATTCTAAATAAGCATTTTAGGTAATTCTTCTCAATAGTAACTAGAATAGTGATCTGTTAACAAAAGATACTGTCATAATCACTGGAAACCCTTTTGAAAGTATATACATTCCTTCACTACCTTGTAACTAATAAATCATCCTCTCCAGAAGCAGGACATAGGAATATGAAATAAAGTTGACTAAATGATCCTGAAACAGATCCTAGTAGGCAGTGAAATTTACAGGAAAGAAAACATATTCTTTAAGCCAAACCCTAGTTTGTAGATTATTCTAGGTTGCCATGTAAATAGTCCAAATGCTTTACTAGGCATTTAAGTTTTCTGAGCTGATGACAACCTCCTATGGAAAGTTGAGGGACCTATAAGACAAAGTCATGCCTTTCTCTTTTTCTCTTTCCTTTCCTGAGTAAATGTACAATTCACGAATAGGCTCAAATAGATCTTAGGAAACAATTCTATCTCCAAGATAAATAGTTGATCTTCAAAGTTTCCAGAGTTCCATGCCGCAGAATATGGCTGAAATAATTTAACAGGTACACATTTAAATCCAAATACCCACTTTCACTGAAAAAAATAAAGATAAAAATCATAATAAGTAACCCAACAGTGGGGAGTGGTGGCTTATGCCTGTGATTCCAACTACTCCAGAGGTTGAGGCTGGATTGCTTGAGCCTAGGAGATTCAGACCAGCCCAGGTGATACAGCAAGATTCTGTCTCAAAAAAAAAAAAAAAAAGTAAGCCAAGAATATCTACTTAAAGCATTAGCTTTCTTTTTTTTTTGAGACAGGAGCTTCAAGCTGTCCCCCTGGGTAGAGTGCCATGGCATTTCAGCTCACAGCAACCTCCAACTTCTGGGCTCAAGAGAGTCTCCTGCCTCAGCTTCCCAAGTAGCTGGGACCACAGGTGCCTGCCACAATGCCTGGCTATTTTTTTTTTTTTTTTGTTTCCGCTGGCATTTTTTTTTTTTGGCGGGCCCAGGCTGGATTCGAACCCCCCACCTTGGGTGTACGTGGCTGGCGCCTTAGCCACTTAGCCACAGGCGCCGAGCCAAAGCATTAGCTTTCTAATGGCTCTGCCAAGATGAGCAAGCTGTAAACCATACTTCTTCTATGTAACTAACAAGTTGGTCTACTATGTAGTTGTTATGAGCCAGTTAAAAAATTGAAGGATGCCTGCCAATCAAAAAAGACAATCTGAAGTTTAAAGAGTTAATCTTAAACCTTCATCTCAAGGAATGAGACTATATGCCACTTGAGTCATTAATTAGAACCATTAATTAATGACAATGACATAATCATAAAAATGCCTATCTCTCTGTATTCTGCTATGTATATCTACATGTCTATTTGGGGAGGCAGAGGGAATGAAGAAAAAGCTTTGCTTTAGTCTCAGAAGAAATCATTGCAGGGGCTGGGCATAGTGGCTCCTGCCTGTAATCCTAGCACTCTGGGAGACTAAGGTGGGTGGACTGCCCTGAGCCTCACAGGTTCAAGATCAGTCTGAGCAGAAGCAAGACCTCATCTCTTACAAAAAATAAATAAATAAATAAATTGTGGTACGTTGTGGTGGGTGCCTGTAATCCCAGCTACATGGGAAGCTGAGGAAAGAAAAGCACTTGAGCCCAAGAGTTGGAGTTTGCTGTGAGCTATGACACCACTGCACTCTACCAAGGGTGATAAAGTAAGACTGTCTCAAAATAAATAAATAAATAAAAGTTCTTAAAAAAAAAAGTAAAGCAAAAGAAATCACTGTAGAACCTGTTAAGAGTCCATTCCAATCCACCCTAATTATGCTACTCAAGTATATTCTGATTAGATTTACCTGTCTTGAACAAAAGAATTCTTAGGGAAAATCCATTTATAGTATTGTTTTCCATCCCCCTCAAAAAGGGAGAATAGTTAAGAAGAATTTTCAAGATCCTCATAGATGAACTTACCGCCCAAGAGGCTTTCTTGTGTTTTAGAACCTCACAATTTTCACTTGCTCCTTTGTAGTATTTAGGAATTACAATATCCTAAAAAATGTAAACATCAAAAAAGCATCATCATAATAAGGAATTATTGTTAGTTTAAGCAAGTGTCAATAAAGGTATCGTGGTTGTAGTTTTAGAAAGCCATCATTTGTTAAGAGCTACAGACTTAATTTTTTACAATGAAATGATGTATGAGATTTCCTTTGAAACACTGTATGCACACACACACACACACACACACACAGAGTGGGGCAGAGATAGAAGATGGGACGAAAGTTGGCAGTTGTTGAAACCCGGATGATGGGTTACAACATTCTGTTTTAATACATGTTGGAAATTTTCCAAAATAAAAAACCAAAATGCATTCTCTTTTGACATCAAACATTTTAAGTATGATTCTTCTGAGGGATATCTTAAGATGTTGAATGGAAGACCTGCTATAACAAAGCAGAATGTTTTTGCAAGTTTATGAGGGGTGTAGACATTGAGAGCATCACAACTGAGACACAAATCAGTTCAAAGTGAACATTTCTAAAACAGAACTATTTAGGGAATGCTAAAATTCACATATTCCAGCACTGAAAACACTGACGTTAAGTTGCAAAACTATAACTCCACACCAAATACGATTCAACTTATTCTCTAGCCGCAGCCTATGCAAGTTCATGGTGGGTGTGGGTGTCCGGGAAGCAGAGGATTTAACCTCTACGTTCAGTTAAAATCAACAGCCAGGAGAAAGGGGGCGGGCATGTGGCAGCCGGGCAGGCGATTGGGAGGCAATCGCCTGGGACCGTGGCTTTATCACTTACGGGCTGGAACCTTCCCAAGCCTCAGTCCCTTAGAGGGGTAACAGTACCTACCTTATAGGGTGGTTGGGAAGCTTAATTATGCAAATACATGCAAAGAACACGCAGCTTTTAAGCGATAGGGCCTGATGGTGTTATAGTTAAGGACGAAAATTTTTAGAGGTGGCCGGGCGAGCTGAGGGCGTCAGCGTCTAGGGGAAAAAGACTACGCTGGGTCTCCGTCCGCCCGCCTGTCTGCGAGCCTGGGGCGCAGGCCAAGGGATGGTGGGGCTACTTTTAGGTGCCGGTTTCAGGTTCTAGTTCAGCACCCCGCTCGGCCAACGAATCGACCTCCAGCCGTCGGAACTAGTTCAGGCGGCGGTTCCTCAGGTTGGATCTCCCAGGACGAACGTGCGGGGCGCGGGGAGACAGCAGGACGCGCCACCGCCGCCAGCTCAGCGAGGCCAGGCTTCCATCCGGGTTCTCCCGGCCGCTTCCCGCCCGCAGACGAGGCGAAGCGTCTCTCCGCACGCAGGCGCAGTAGCAACCGGCTGAGGGGCCGGCTGGGTTACGCGGGGACCATGCGCAGTGGGTTTCCTCACGTTTTTGAAATTGTGTACGTGGAGTTGGAAATGTTTTGTTAATTGTGTCCGCCAGAAAGGATGAACTCTAGAATTTTAAGGGTGAAAGGCACTGTAAAGTTCACATAGCTTTTTTTTTTTTTTTAAATATTCAGAGAAATTTTTAGAATTGTAGAAAAGTTAGAAAGTTTTATATTGTATCAGAGTTTGAGCTTGGAGATGATAAAAAACTGACAATTAACCGTGTTCCATGTGGAATTAATGAAGAAAAAGAGAAAGAAGCACATTGTATTCCCAATTAAACATTCAAGCAAATAGGTCAGACTTAAAAAAAATTTTTTTTTTTGAGACAGTCTCAAGCTGTTGCCCTCAGTAGAGTGCTTTACCGTCACAGCTCACGGCAACCTCCAATTCTTGGGCTTCAGTGATTCCCTTGCCTCAACCTCCCAAGTAGCAGGGACTACAGGTGCCTGCCACAATGCCCAGCTATTTAGTTGTTGTGGTCGTTGCAGTTGTCATTGTTTTAGCTGGCCTGGGCCGGGTTGGGACCTGCCAGCCTTGGTATATGTGGCCTGTGCCCTATCCTCTGAGCTATGGGTGCCGTCCCAGACTTCCAACCCATCAGCCCCGATGTGTGTGGCCGCGCCCTGACCATTGAGTTACGGGCACCGAGCCACGATGTTTAATTTTATTAAAAAAATTAACTACATGATTTTAAATTAATAAGTCCATATTATGGAGGTTTTAGAGAAAAATCTTAAAGTACAAAACTAGAAAACATTGTTTAAAAAAACCCCAATACAGTCCCCTTTTTTGTTGAGGGATATTTTCTCCCAGAATTATTCTAAACTTAATGAGTTTATTTGTTTTTGTATAGTCAGTCTTGTTAGAAGCATTTCATAAAGGCTGGTGTGTGTGTGTGAGTGAGTGTGTCATGGGGGTGTCAAAAGAATGCGGGACAGATGCATCATTGTTAAGTGTTGAGGTGAACCTGTTAAAACATTGAAGGCTGCTTAAGGTTTTTGTTCATAGAAGAAATCGCAAAATAACAGCCTCCCTGGGGTTGATACAGTGGCTCACACTTGTCTGTAATGTCAGAGCTCTGGGAGGCTAAGACAGGAGGATTGCATGAGGCCAGGAGTTGGGAGACCAGCCCGACCAAAATATGAGGGCACCCCCCCCATCTTTACAAAAAATTAATTTGGCTTGGCACCTGTAGCTGGATGGTTAGGGTGCCGGCCACATGCACCAGAGCTGATGGGTTCAAACCCGGCCAAAGCCTGCTAAACAACGACAACAAAAACAAAAAAAATAGTCGGACATTGTGGTGGGATGCTGAGGCAAGAGAATTGCTTGAGCCCCAGAGTTTGAGGTTGCCTGTGAGCTGTGACCCCACGACACTCTACAGAGGGCATAGTGACACTCTGTCTCAAAAAACAATTGCTTGGTGTGAAGTTCCTGTAGCCCCAGCAACTTAGGAGCCTGAGGCAGAAATGGTGGGGGGAATCCCTGGAGCCTAGGAGTTTGAGGTTACAGTGAACTATGATCAGGCCGCTACACTCCAACTTCGGCAACAAAGCATTCCTTGTTTCTTAGAAAAACAAAGAAAATCCACAACAGCAGCCTTCCCAGCTCAGAAACTAGGAGCTTAAATACTAGAGAAAGTGGTAAGCTTCAGAATCACTCTTGGTGCCAATGCTCTTAATTGTTAGGACCTTTTTTTTTTTTTGAAATAGAGTCTCAAGCTGTTGCCCTGCGTAGAGTTATGTGGCGTCATAGCTCACAGCTATCTCAAATTCTTGGGCTCAAGTGATCCCCTTGCCTCAGTTTTTCTATTTTAGTAGAGAGGGGGGTCTCACTTTTTTTGCTCAGGCTGGTCTAGAACTTGTGTGCTGAAGCTATCCACCCACCTCAGCCTCCCAGAGTGCTAGTATTACAGGTGTGAGCCACCTGCCCGGCCTAATTGTTAGGATTTGAGCAAGTTTACTTGGTGTCAATAATTTCATATGCTTGTTGTAAAACAGGGATATCAATTGTTACTCACTTTATGAAGTACTTTTGAGGAGTAAGATAACACATGAAAATTACACTACATATTTCCTGCACCCATATTAAAGCTCATAATCTGAATAATGTTGTAGGTGTTACCCTTTTCCTAAAATGAAACAGCAGACAGAATTCTTCCTAAAATCAGAGTAAATTAGGCCTCACTAAGAGAGAACAGAGGCCCAGAAATATTAGGACACGCTTTTTCAGTTAAAGGATGCTGAAATTTTCTAAAAAAGACTCAAGAGAAGGTAATCCACATTCCCCACCTGACCTATAACCTGCTTTTCTGCCAAATATTAGAAATAATGCTACAGACGATTCACAATTAAGTAAAACCACTCACAGTTTAGCAAAAGATAAAATATAAAATAGACATACCAATGTTAGACTTTATGTTGAACCATCTTGTTAAGGTAGGAATATGAAAACAATTTTTTGCATCCTTAAAGTAGAAATCTATTTGCATTGTTCTTTAGTTTCGTACTAGTCTAAATCTAGACATCGTATATATCCACAGTACTTGACAATTTGACTCAGTTACAACACCATTTCTGAGATGCTGACTTAAAGTAGTATAGTACAGGGTTTTTTTGTTAGCTTAGAAAACCCAGTGAGCTGTTAAAAGTCAATGTACTGGGAGAAGATATTTGCATGGTGTGAGTCTGACAAAAAGCTAATCAACAGAATCCCTAATGAACCCAAGCCTATCAACATGAAAAGAGCAAACAACCCCATTAAAAACTGAGCTAGAGATATGAATGGAAACTTTTCGGACAGAAGCCAATACACATGTGAAAAAATGCTCATAATTCTTAATTATCATAGAAATACAAATCAAAATCAGCTTGAGATATATCACCTAGCCCCAATAAAAAATGGCCCATGTGACAAGGTCCCAAAGCAACAGCTGCTGGCATGGATGTGGCGAGAAAGGAACACTTAATGCAGTGTTGGTAGGACTGCAAACTAATGCAGCCTGTAAGGAAAGAAGTATGGAGATTCCTCAGAGAACTAAAAGTAGACCTACCAGTTCATCCCACAATTCCACTACTTAGCATTTACCCAAATGAAAAAAAAATTCTTGCCATAGGGACATCTGCATTAGAATGTTCATAGCCACTCAGTTCAAAATTGCAAAAAATGTGGAAACAACCCAAGCGCTCATCAACATGTAAACAGATTAATAAACTGTGCTATATGTATACCATGCAATACTATTCATCCCTAAAATTGCTTGAGCTCAGGAGTTTGAGACTTGCCTGATTAAGAGTGAGACCCCAACTCCTTAAAAGATGGAAAAACATAGCTGGGTGCCCCAGTGAGTGCCTATGATCCCAGTGGCTTCCAGAGACTGAGGCAGCAGGATGTCCACAGCCTGAGTGTGAGGTTGCAGTGAGCTATGATGCTACTGCACTCTGCTCAGGGCATAGGAGGAGACTCTCTCAACAACAACAACATCAAAATGTAAATTTTGCATCCTTTTTAACGACTTGGAGAACATGCTCCTAATTATCATAAGATAGGAAAAGCAAACATTCCATGTATTCAAAAACAATTTGAAATTAGATGATTAACAATCACAGACCTACATGAG